TATCAGACACAACATACTAAGTGGAACAAGCTTTATAATTTAAAAAAATGCAGGTCAAATCAGTTATTTAGATTTGACTATAAAAGGAATAACTTTTCTTTTAACAGATTCTGCACATGGAAAAGGATCAAATCTCTCCTAAACATTATTTCTTAATTGTCTAGAAAACAGTTAGTAGTAAATACATAAAAACCGTAATAATTATCCTAAGCTTAAACAAAACAAATGGCTTTTTCTAAATGGAATATTCACCGGGGTTAGAAGCCTGTTAGGTAGCTGAACAGTTCAATTCTGCCCTGACAACTCTTCCCACAAGTAGTCCCAGTGCTTACTGCTAATCATAGTCTCAGAAAACTGAGTCCTACATCTACTACCAGATAAAAGCTTAATCATATAAACAAGGAGAGTTTTGAAATAAAGGATGCAATATTCTGTTACATACACAGACAGACATATAAGACAAAGAGAACTCAACCGGTTCAGCTCGTCTAAACCTGTGTAACTGGCTTTAGCCTGCTCTTCTGAAGAAGCAAGGCTTATGCAGTCAAACTCTGTGTGTGAGAGCCCTTACTAATAACATTTTAATTCATTTTACTCTCAAACTACACAGAGGGGATGGAAGGCTCTGAAAGAGAGAATTAGGTTCCTGTAGGGTCTGTGAAACTATATGGCTGAGTACAGGAAAGAAATATTCTGTGCGCTTCTAGTATTATCTTGAAATAAGACCCAGGGGCTGCAAGTCCTGCCTCTTCTCCAGCCTGCCTTATGGAGCGGCAGCACACACATTTTGCAGTTAATCTCTGAAGATGCAGGAGGTCCAGTGCACATGGCGGTTCTGCCAGCCCAGAGCTCTACAGGGCACTGGGAGCCAGACCTCCTCCTCCTCTCCCTCCTCCTCCTCCCCTGCGGACTCACTCCCACCTCTGCATTTGGAACAGAATTCAATTTCCTCCCTGGAGTAAATGCCACAGTGTGAGCTCTCTGCCTACTGGAAGGAATCCATGCCAAAAAGAAGCATTGTAAATGCCACAGCAGTGGTAAATTTTTCAGCCAGAGTTTGCAGTTTCTTCAAAACCTGTCACAACAAGATATGAAGTTCTAACAGATCAGGTTTCAATAACAACCTCCCCAAAAAACTTAAGTCAACGCAGTTACGCTTATTGGAAATCAAGTTTCTGGCGCACTGGAAGTTGATCAGTACAAAACTGGTAACCTGAGATGAAGATGATGGGGCAGGGAACGGGCAGATGGACAAAGACAGTCCGAGGGGAGGGGAAAGCCTGGCACTGGTGGCACAGACAGGATTTGGTCAGAGGGTTTTTATCTCTAGCAAGTGTGAGAAGATACACATGGGAAAGATGAGTGTTTGTATTTCTCCCATGTTTTTTGCTTCATGCAGAGCACAAAGACATTGACATTAAATTTGATTATTTCAACAGTTTAAGAAGCTGAGAAAATAAAGCGATGCCCAGGTATCTCTGCCAATCAACTTGTCCTGAAAGCACTCCCTGCAGGTGAAGGATACATGGAGGAGCTGGAAGTTTATAATTAACCATAGCCAAACAGAATAGGGATTTTATTATTCTCTGGGTAGGTCACACTGTTAGAAAACGCCTCAGACGAACGGCCCCAGGCACACAGGGCCCCCCTGCACTGGGGTGACCGAGCACCCAGAACAATTCCTGGTTCCTCTGTCTTCTGGACAGGGCCACCTCCTGGCTAGAGGGTGTAGGACAGGCTGAGCCTCCACACGCCAGGAAACGCATTAGAGGGAGAGAAACATGGCTTGACAAATCTGAGCACCTTGGGCCAACTGGTCAGCAGATGCCTGTTTGAAGACCTGGACCATGCTTCTTTAAACGTGTCAGAGGACTCAGGGCCGTATGCACTGAGGTCCACCTCTGTCACTGCCATGTATGTGTGTGCATGTTTGAAAACCTAGGATATTTGCTGAAACCTTTTGCATATGAGGGAGAAAATAGATTATTTATATTACAATTGTCACATGAGGATCAAGGCCTCTGTCCCGAAGAGAATCAGGAAACTTCAGATCTCCTGCAGTCAATCTTTCAGGCTTGCTGAGGAGATCCCCTTGTCCAACTTCAGTAAGAACTCAGGAAGAGTGTAAGTGTGTAACTGAATTCAGATTTGGCTCCTATTCCCTCTGAGCTCTCTTAATATTACCATTCCTGGATTTAAAAGTAGTATCCTATGTTTATACACATAATAAGTATTGTACATCTGGTATCTGCAGGGTCTAAAATTTGGTCTTGTAACACTCCCTATAACTGAGTGTTACTAGGGCAGATACAAACTGTCAAACCATTTGTCATAATTTATTTCTTTATGTTGCTAATGGCATCCTTTGTTGTGTGAGTACCAGTTCTCATCACTAAGAGCAAACTCTATGCACAAAACGCTTAGTGGACACTAATAGGTATGAACAGGCTAAACCTCAGGCAGAGGATGGGTGAAATCAATATATACTTCTTTAGAGTCATTGTGTGATACTATGAAGCTTGTTTATGTAACTAGATAACTGAAATAATATCAATCCCCATCCTCAGTGAAGGTCCACATCACAACAACAACAAACTGGTAGGCTAGTTTTACTGGTGGCTGCTTTTTCAAGACTTTTCTGTCTGTTGAAAACCAAAAAGTAAGACCACAGGTGACAGGAGACATCAGAAACAGGTACAGGAGCTCTGAGACACAGCACTTCCAGGTGCTGAGACATAGTTGGATAAAACAAGGAACTGTACATTGAAGAAACAGCCTCTTGTTGTTCGACTGATTTCTTCTGCTTTCAAGGAACTTTTAAAATAAACACCATTCAAAGACACCTGACTATACCATCAGTTTCTCATTCCTAATAGATACAATCTGCAAAGTTGCTGTTTTGATGCTCTATCAGGTCGAAAGAGGGTTAGTACAAATTTTCAGCCATTTCTGTTTAAGGCTGGATTTGTTCTAGTGACCTATAACTGCAAGATTTTCTAGTCTAGTATCAGTCTTCTGAGCCACACACTTGCCAACTTTTACTTCTGCTACAAACCTTCAAGATAAAACTCTGGACTTGGAGACAGGGTATTTTGCACTGTGTGCCTATCTCAAACTTCCTTTCTCACCTTTCCTTTTCAAGTAATTATTTTACTTGTTAGTTGAAGGAAAAAACTTGCATTAATTTCAACTAAGAGAGTAAGATTTAGAGCTTTTCATGGTGCTGTAAACCGGCTTTTGTAAACAATAATACAAAGTAATTTAAAAGATCATTTCAATGCCATTGCTCCTGCAGGATGGATGAAATTATTCCAAATCCACAAAGAAATTGAGTTGAAATGTGCATGTAGATTGGTAGAAATACAGAGCACTGGTTTACTGATTTTGTGAAATGTATGTGTGGGAAACACTGTGCTTGTTGTCAAAAAAAGAAAGGACTGTACAAGGATGTAATTACATCTGGAGTATTTTTTGCTTGCAAAAACCTGAAGTTTCAGTATGCAATAGCAAGTAATGGTTAGGTTGTTATACAGGCAGACAGACTCATACTGTCTTGCAAAGAGAGTTAATCCCTTTGAAGATGTGTAAAGTTTCTTCTCTTCCTTCTCCAGAGGATGGAGTCCACCAGTTCTAACAGTGCACCTTACAGATTCACTGCTGACACACCTGTAGGTAACCTAGAGCTATCACAGGCTTTGTCAGAGCAGCTCTTCCCCACTGTGCGGTCACTCCTCCTGACATCTCTAAAAAGACAAAAGGGTCCAAAGAACTATACATTTTAGGGAAGAGCATGTGACTGCTCCAGCCCTTTTCTGTCCTCCTTACTACATCACTTCCTCATGCAAGATTTTGTTTTCCTTGGAAAACTCTCCTTTTACCTCTCAAAAAAATATCTTAACACGCGTTTTCTTGATGTTCCCCAGCACTGTGGGGCAGAACCAGGTGTAAGTCTATGCTGATATGGCCAGTTTCAGGCACGAAGCACTATAACTCAGCTTCATTATGTGAAAAAACATGAGAAGGCAGATGTAAAGGTAGATGATTTAAAAATAAAATTGGTGCTGGGTTGTATTGATTTTCATTGACTCTCGGTGATCTGAAGTCTAGAAATTTATTATTTTCTTAAAGTGGAAGATGAGGTTTTGGTGTATGTATTAGGTTCCAGAAGCTGAGGCTTCAAGGAAAGGCATCAAATATTGCGAGAATTTTTTCTCAGATCTGGTAAGGTAAAGTTAGCTTTGTTACTCTCCATTTCTCCTTATATCTCCTCTCAGCATTGGGCGCATGAGGGAGCTTTTGGCCATCCAACTGGTGTTTGTGGCTGTAGTCAGTTGGAAGACAGTCAAACTTAGAGGAGAGAATAAACTATCTTAAGTCAGGCCACCAGCTACAAAGGCAGCCACTGTGCACCATCCGTCAGTACCAGGATCGAGATCATTAACTCTGCTACTGATAAAGTGGCACCATTAAAGGTTATGCATTTAATGTACTAAGAGATCACTTTCACTTCCAGCTGAAGCCAGGCATGTATTATTAGTACACTGGAGACACGTTTTTCAATGTTCATCATACTATAGCACATCCCTCAAAATACTGCGGAAGACTGTACATTAACTGTGCTTCTTCATCTTACTTGTATAGTGTATTGTTTAAATTGTTTAAAGTAGGCTTTAAGATGGGTTATTTATTCCATATATTTAACTTCTACTTAGCTTGAAGGAAAAGGTCTCCTCATTACAAGGACAGAAGAAAACATCAATTAAAAAAAAATCATTAGATATTCAGCAAATAATACCTATATGAGGTATTGCGGAAATGATCCTATCGATTAAAAAACATGTTCATAGCTCCACTATAAATAAATGAATAAATGAATGTACAGCAGTCAGTAATGCTTCTGGCACTTTGACATTAATTCAATTAAAACTAAAAGAGTGGTGATGACATGTATCATTTAGGAAACTTCAAAAGTTATTGGAACAATCGTTGTCCTCACTTACCTTGAGACAACCAGAGGGAGAATCAACATTTTCAGCATCCTCATCAGTAACTCACCAGGAAACTGGAAATAACTAATTTCCTAGAAATACATGGAGAGATGCTTATTGTTTTGAGATAAAGACTATCTGTCTTCATGAGTCCTGCTGGAGCTGTGGATCAGATAACATTCGTAAAATCTGCACCTCTGGTATATAAGGTGGCAAAGATGGTAGGCTTTAAAAGATGATTTTAAAATTAATTACACTACATATTGTGTCGTAATTCAACAAACACACTACATTGTTCGTTCCTTTACAAAGGAAGACAAAAATGAAATATACATCTTTTGGGGACTACTGTTAATAGGTTGCCCTGAATAATCTCTTCGTTCTGCATTTTGTGTATTTTCCTAGATGTGTATGAAGCTGCTGCTTGGACACAAAAGATGTTCAGACAGCAGCTAGCAGTAGCAGAACATAGAATTGCTTTAGTTTAGTCGCATTTATTAAGTGCCATATTTTTAAATTGAGATTTATATTTTGTGCTCAAACAATGCATTCAGCAATGCATGTTGCCCTGTCTACTCTGTCTGACGCACACAGCAGAAAGAAATGAGTACCAGAAAAGAGCGTAGTTGAAGTATGCTGGAGAAGAAATCCCCATGGTCTGCTAATGATGAGACATCTCAAATGTATTAATACAAAATATCACTGGTGTAACATAAACATCTGTACCTCTGCACATCTGATGAAGAAAAATACTCCTGGTGTTTTCTTTGGATGTACATGTTCCAAAGTAATGTAAAATCCGATGAAGATATTGCACTACCAGTTTTTAACAGGTCTATATTAGATGCTACATTTCATCTAGCTTAAACACCCACTATTATTATCCATACTTGCAACATTATCATGTGCTTACGGTAGACTTACTAGGTGTCTTAAAGACCAGAACCCTTTGCAAACATATTGAGAATGTGTGAAAAGACCCAAAGAACAGTGTAAATTAACAAACAGATGAAATTCAACAAATTCAACAAACGCATACATATGCTTTTTATCTTCCAAAGTCCATCCTGAAGCTCCACCAGTTGCTATGTCTTTTGTTACGTAAGTATGGTATTTTCTCCATGGTGATACACTGCCATGCCACGCTTACCTGCTGGGAGAGCCGTCTCGTCCTCAGGAAGAATCCGAGAAGACAGCCGATGGTGACCGACAACACCGAGAGAATGAGCAAACCATTTCTTTTACAAACATCCTTGATCCGAGCGAGGATTGCATCAAAAGCCACTGCCATGCTGTCCTCCGTGCTCTTTGGAGAAGAATCAGCATCCCATGGAGAGAGAATTCACTCACTCCTCTTGTTCGGGTGGACAGATCTAGCTCTGGATAGATCAGATCAAAGGACTTCCAGTTCTGCTTAGCTGACCTGCAAGGTCACCCCTCTGCCAATAGCCACCAAGCAAGCAGCTGGCATTATTGTTCCAAATTAATACCAACAATCCTATTATCGACTACATCATTAAGAGCCTGGAAGAAGATTAGGGGGCTCTGGAAAATTAGAACAGAATGCAGTAGTATTTCTAAAACAAGGCGGGTTCAAAACAAAGTGACACTCCTGGCAGAAGGATTGTGTTTGGGTGCATTCCTCAGTCTCCTCAGTTTGGTATTGCACATCCAAACCTAGGGAGGGAACACTGCAAGTTGCACATTCAAATGGGTAAAAATAACGTAACTGCAGTTTTTCTAAAGGGCAGAGCAGGTAACATTTTGAACTGGACTATCACAACAGGGCAAGCTAGGTGAGACTGAACTTCATTAATTAAAGCAGGCTTGGGTTTTTTGCTTTCATGGCGAAAAAAGGCTGAATGAGTAGCATAAGACACATGCATCGAACAGAAAATATCTGTACACTGACACACGCAAAGACACCTCCTCGCATTTGCCATTTATTATCTTCGAAGGGAAATGATTTCACTTTTCTTCCAACCACTATGTTGATGAGAGTAGGGCCAATTTACTTTCAGAGGATTATCAGACTAAGCCATAGGGATTGCTTTCCTTTCCTTTGCCGTGTCCGCATGCAATCCCAATGCTGATTTTTATTCTAGTATCTGATAAAAATATACCACCATGACTGCTCACACTTTCTTACTGAAATATTTCTGTAGTTTCTGAGTTAGATTCTAAGATTATTCAGTGTTTTTATGTAAAATATTCCATGCAGTATCAAACTGTGTGTTTACAATATTATATTTTATATCGTAATACAGTATTTGTTGTTACTCGCTCATGTACGAGTAAAAGTTCACGAGAAATGGAACCCTTCTCTTTGGAGGCAGGATCTGAATGGTCAGATCTTGTACGGTCAGCGAGGTATACGGACACACACTAGAAAAATGAAAGAGAAAAACCACGCTGCACAAGAGCGCTGTCAAAATGAGACGATCACAGAAAATTTTATTAATGCGTCTGTAAAAGAGGACTGAACGAATGCTGACCCATCCCACTCCAGACATTTTCCAATATCCAGATCGCTTTGCTACCCCGGTATCATGCATCGAATACACCTTCCAAATGAAATAGTAATTCAAAAAGCTGCGTGAAATCC